GGGGTGATAGGGGGCTGGGGGTAGGGGTGAGGGTGGGGTAAAAAATTGAAGTTAAAAATATTTTTAAAAACAAGCTTTAAATTATTTTTTTGGGGGGCGTTTAGGTAGGGGGGGGGGTTGAGGGTAGGGACAAAATAAATTGATTATTTCAACAAAAAAGTAATTGTAATTTGAAGTTGGAAGAGAGTTTTGGAAAATGTTTTCCATAAATTTTGAAGGGAAGTCATTTTCCTTAAATTTGAGGAAAATGAGTTGATTTGGAAAACATTTTCTAAAACATTTAACCCAACCAAACATGAAAAAATTGGAAAACATTTTCCGGAAAATGTTTTCATCATACCAAACACACCCTAAAGTTGTCAATATATACTTGCTTATACTACTTTTTTCTAGAACTTCTTTTTGTTTATTATTCGGTTGTGAGCTGACTTTATATTTTAATAATTATTTGAGGAATTACTACTTATACACCGGGGCAGTTCAATGGAATGGGTGGTTTTAAGCTGATCTTAATTAAGAGATACTTCAAAATTAATTATTATATATATATATATATATTTATTTATTTATTTATTTATTTGATTTGTTTTCTTTTTGTTTTGTAAAGATGTTGTATGAATCAACTTGTATACATATCTTGATTACCTACTAGTTCCTTCCATTGAAGATATTTGGTAACTAGTGAGCTAAGAGTCATGAACTAACTTTTATATGAAGTTTTGATGATTAAAAGCATAAAAAAATATAGGGATAAGGGTCTGAAAAATACCCCAACTTTGGTCGAATTTGCTGTTGCGATACTAAACTTTCATGAGGACCTATTACCTCCCTAAACTATTTAATACCGTATTTTAAACATATATATTTGCCCACGTGGACATAAAAAATAATGCAAAATTATAAATAGTAATGTGTCCAAGTGGACACATATATACCTTTGAAATATACACTATTAAATAGTTCAGGGGGTAAAAAATACGGTATTAAATAGTCTAGGGAGGTAATAGGTCCTCATGAAAGTTTAGTATCGCAACAACAAATCCGACCAAAATTGGGGTATTTTTCAGACTCTTATCCCAAAAATATATGATGTAAGAACAAAATAAGGATTGATAGTGTTTTTAACAAAGAACTACTGAATAACGAGTTCCTTAACATGTCTATTACAAGGACGGACAATAAAAGTATAATGTAAGAGATGAAGGAACCAGGTCCTTTATAATAGATTGTTGAAGATTGCTGATCAGACGCAAAACAAATTTTAAGTGCATGAAAGATTCCTTAAGGAATTGGGATTATGGCTAATCAAATTGATCAAGAAACAAGAAATCAATATGAAAATATAACTTAATTATTTGCAAACATGGAAAGAGTTTTGAAAATAGAAGGCGTGAATGGAAATAAAAAATATACTTCGTAAGATCCCACAAGTAAGCTATATGGAGGATAGAATGGACGCCCTGCCCCCAACCATCCAAATGGTCAAAGGCAAGAACAAAATTAGTACTAAATCAAACCACATAATAGGAACAATCAATAGTAAATATATCTCCCATTATAACAAAGCTAGTCAAATGACCCTTAATTATTAACATAATCTATGTCTCGATCTCATAGCTGAAATTACCTAATTAAATGTGGATTAGGATAGGGGAAAATCAAATTCAAGTTGCTTAATTAGATGTAAGAGATAGTTGAAAGATTCTACTTGCGGAGTTTGGTGGATAAGTTGCACCATACACAATCATAAGTGAACTTTATGTATTCTTCAATTCCCTTGTTGCTTAAAAATAGGATACCAAATGTGTACTTGATTGTTTTCTAATTTTACATGGAATGTCCTCAATATCTCTTAATATTTTAATATTTCTTTGAGGCCTGCACAAGCAGTGGAGCATGTGACTTAATTCGATAAAACATGCAAAATCTTACTAGCCCTTGACATATGAACAAGAAAACCTGTCCTTAATGGGATGATACTTACTTTCATACAGGTGCTACATGGCTGTCGCTAGTTCATACAATTTAGTCATGATTCATGGCATTCATCACCCTCTATCTCCTTTACAACAAGTGTGATCAATAATGCAACATTCACATACATACATGTATCATAATGAAGCAAGAATAAACATACATCACACAATCATAGAATCATAACCATCACCTAACCCTGGATCATCATCTAAAGCTTCTTCCTAGGATTTAACTATATTTTTGTTTGGTGTACGAGGTCCTACACATAATTATACCATTGATTTACATATACTATGCGGTGAACACAGATTTATAGCTACAAAATTCATAAAACCTAGCCTACCTATGCGCCAAGCAGTAGCACAGAGTTTTGACTTCGATTCTTGTTTCCAAGCTTCGTAACTGTGATCTTGATCGGAAATCCGCCCTTCGCCACGCTCCTCACGCTAGAATTCTCTTTCTCCCTCTTTTCCAAGCTTAGA